GCACTTTGGAAGATGGAGGTGAGAGGATTTTACCTGAACCCAGGGGTTCAAGACCAGCCTGGACAACTTGGCGAGACCTGGTCTCTACAATAAATAAAAATATTAGTTGGGCATGGTAGCGCACGCCTGTAAATCCAGCTACTTGGAAGCCTGAGGCAGGAGGATTGTCTAAGTCCAGCAGGTCGGGGCTGCGGTCACCGTGAGCGTGCCACTGCACTCCAGCCTGGTCAACAGAATGAGACTCCAACTCAAAACAAAACAAAACAAAACAAAACAAAAATAAAACAGATAAGTGACTATATTTTAGCACCTGGATACTATTGTTAAATATTGGTATGAAAGACTAGCCACACATACTTTGGCGGGGAGGATGTGTTCTTTCTTATGTTTTTTGAGGCCAGTCTTTTTCTGGAAAACTCCAAGAGAATCTCTACAAAAGAAACCACCAAATCCAACCTTCAGCAGTGCCCATGTGCAGTAATCTGCTACTTAGAGAGACACGGAATTTTCAAGTGAGAACACAAATTAGTAAAACCTCTTTTTTTTTTATTTTTTGAGTCAGCATCTCACTCTGTCACTTAGACTGGAGTGCAGTGGCACCATCATGGCTTACTACAGCCTCTACCTCCTGAGCATCAGGCAACCTTTCCACCTCAGCCTCCCAAATAGCTGGGACTACAGGCACATACCACCATGCCTAGCTAGTTTTTAAATTTTTGTGTAGAGACAACATCTTGCTATGTTGCCCAGGATGGTCTCGAACTCCCGGCCTCAAACAATCCTCCCACCTCTCAAAGTGCTGTGATTACGGGTGTGAGCCACCGCGCTTGGTCAATAATTCCTCTTGTGTCCACCAACACATAGGTGTCTAGAGATTTGGGACATAATCCTTACTCTACACTAAGTAGTTTTGTGTCCTCAATTTTCTCACCTCTGAAGTCAAGTGGTTGGTCTTAAGGCTCCTACTCTCTCCCCCCCCTTATTGTGTTATAATCCTAGGGCTTTAAAAAACTTTAAAATACAAGCCTATCTTTTCTATCATCTACCTACTATAAGAATAAGCACTTACATGAAATACAAAATTTTTGTTCTCACTTTTCTTTCATTGCAGAGGGAGGAAGTCATGGCTGTGGTAAGGATAAGATAATGGAGTTTATGTAATGGAGTTCAAAAAAATTCCTTACCTCATTGGGTTGTTGAAGTGATGAAACGAGATTACATCCTTGAGAAGTTTATCATGTATTATTATGCTTTACAAAAAAGGCATTACTGGCAGGGCGTGGTGGCTCAGCCTGTAATCCCAGTACTTTGGGAGGCCGAGGTGAGAGAATTGCCTGAGCCTGGAGGTTCAAGACCAGCCTGGGCAACTTGGTGAGACCTCGTGTCTACAATAAATCACAAAAACTAGCCAGGTATGGTGGTATGCATCTGTAGTTCCTGCTACTTGGAAGGCTGAGGCAGAAGAATTGCCTAAACTCAGGAGGTCGAGGCTCCGGTGGCCATGAACATTCCACTGCACACCAGCCTGGGCCATAAGAGTGAGACTCCAACTCAAAAATAAATAAAATAAAAAAATTTAAAGGGTGTTACTATTACTACTAATAAATGTAAACATATATTCAATAAACATTAGTCAAACACCTTCGACATATCAGGCATTGTACTAAACATGAAAAAGACACTGACCCTCTTTTCCCAGGGCTCACAGGAAGTCACAAAAGTTCAGATCAAATGATGACGATGTTTATCCTTAAAATTGTTTTTTTTACCTTTTCTAAAAGTTTCAGGCTAAATAAAGGAACAAAATGCTACTTCTTCCTGTTTTCAAGTACTATGCATCTTTTTAAGTGTCCTTTTCCAAATCTGAAAAAAACAAAACAAACAAACAAACAAGAAAAAACTTAGATCTGAGATTCTGCCAAAGTTGAACTGATTTCTGTGCTAGGTAAAGAAATAAGATAACCTACGATCTATTAACCGTTGGGACAAGCATAGTGGCAAGTATTTAATGGGCTCCCCAACACAGACAAGTGAAAAATGGATAATGATAACCTCGCTACAAAGGATAATAGAAGACTGACCTTGGGCTATGAAAAATGTGTTCTGTAGATATGTGGCTGCACTTTCAGAGTTCACAATTACCCCTTCTTACCTTATGCTTTAGTAGCAATGGACTTACCCACTCTGAGCTCCTTTAATGTAATATGCTGCTTCAGGTTTCTGTGCATTTTTTTCATTCCCTGTTCTTAGCCTGGAACAAGTAGAGTTGACCCTTAGCAACTCAGGTTTGAATTGTGTGGGTCCACTTATATGCAGATTTTTTTTTTTTTTTTGAGTTGGAGTCTCACTCCATTGCCCAGGCTGGAGGGCAGTGGCCACTCCTGGCCACCGCAGCCTCGACCTGCTGGGCTCCAGCCATCCTTCCATCTCAGCCTTTCAAGTAGCTGCAACTACAGGTGCGTGCTACCACGCCCAGCTAATTTTTGATTTTTATTGTAGAAATGAGGTCTCGCCAAGTTGCCCAGGCGGGTCTCTAACCTACTTGCTCAGGCAATCCACTCACCTCGGCCTCCCAAAGCACGGGATGACAGGCTGAGCCACCGAGCCCGGCAGATTTTTTTTTTAAGTTACATGGAGGGCCTCCCCACCCACCTCCTTCACCTCTTCTGCCTCTGCCACTCCTGGGACAACAGGACCAATCCCTCCTCTTCCTCCTTCCTTAACCTACTCAATGTGAAGGATTAAGAGTAAATATATTTTCTCTTCTTTATGATTCTCTTAACAATGTTTTCTTATTCTAGCTTACTTTATTATAAAAATACAGTTGACTCATGCCTATAATCCCAGCACTTTGGGAGGCCGAGGTGACAGGATTGCCTGAGCTCGCTGGTTCGAGACCAGCCTGGGCAACTTGGCGAGACCTCATCTCTATGATAAATCAGAAATTAGCCAGGCATGGTGGCACGTGTCTGTAGTTCCAGCTACTTGGAGGACTGAGGCAGAAGGACCACCTGAGCCCAGCAGGTCGAGACTGCAGTGGCCGTGAGCATGCTACTGCACTCCAGCCTGGGCGACAGAGTGGGATGCCAACTCAAAAAGAAAAAAAAAAAAGAATACAGTACATAATACATATAAAATACAAGACGTGTTAATAGACTATTAATGTAATTGATGCAGGTCGGGGGTAGGCTATTCGTAGTTAAGTTTTGGGACAGTCAAAAATTAAACTCTGATTTTTATCTGTGCAGGGATCCGCACTCCTGACCCCCAAGTTGTTCAAGGGTCAACTGTAATTTTCCATTACTCCTCACTCTTCCTTCCTTCTTACCTCCTCCTCCCTATCCCTTCTCCTTCATTTTCCCCACAGGCTACCTGCTACTCCGCTCATTTCCTCCTTGAAGTCAGTCTTCCCTCATTTCCCTCTGCTCCTTCCTCCCACCCAGTTCTTGTAAGGTGGCCCCTCCCTGCACTTCTGCCAGCCCTGTGACATCACGGCATAATTACAGGGCAGGAATAACTTCTGTCCCTTTATCTATTTCTTCCACTGGCCCAATGGTTCACAACTGGAGGCAGTTTGGTCCCTCAGAGGACATTTGGCAATGTCTGGAGACATTTTTGGTTTTTGTCACTACTTGGGGACGTGCTATTGGCATCTACTGGGTTGAAACCAGAGTCACTGCTAAATATTGTACAGTGTATAGGACAGCCCTCAACAACAAAGAATTATGGGGTCCCAATAGTGCAGAGGTTGAGAAATCGTACTAAACTGAGTTCCTTCAAGGCAGGACCTTAGGCAGCTCTGTTCCACCAGCTCCAAGCACAGTGCCCAGTACTCAGCAGGAATTCAAACAATTTTTTTTTTTTTTTGAGTTAGTCTCACTCTATTGCCCAGGTTGGAGTGCAGGTCAACCGCAAACTCGACCTGCTGGGTTGAGGAGATCCTTCTGCCTCAGTCTTCCAAGTAGTTGGAACTACAGGCATGCACCACCACACCCTGCTAATTTTTTAATTTATTGTAGAGATGAGGTCTCGCCAAGTTGCCCAGGCTGGTCTGGAACCCGTGCACTCAGGCAATCTTCTCACCTTGGCCTCCCAGTGCTGGGATTATAGGCACGAGCCATCAAACCCAGTCTCAAACAATTTTAAAACTAAATTAAATTTGAAAATTTCTTGGGCTGGGTTCGGTGGCTCAGCCTGTAATCCCGCGCCTTTGGGAGACTGAGGTGAGTGGATT